GAATAAGCCCTGACTGGATGTCACAGCCTAAATGAGTCATCTCAAATCATTCCATCTTGCTTTTTTTTTTTTTTTAAGTCTCTCTCTCTCTGCTAATAATGCACTTACTCTGCAAAAAGCAGAAAAACCTCATAGCTAATACTCCATTCTAAAATAATTCTCTCCTCCTGGTCAAATTTCCATCTCATTTAGTGAAGTTATCTTTCACCCAATCTCCCAAATTTGAAATCTTGAAACCATTCTTACTTTCTATTCCATATCCCGTTACTCTGTATCAATCACCAAATCCTTCCCATAATTTTTCCTCGACAGTCCTGAAAACTGACTCTTCCTCTTGCCCCACCACTGCACTGCTGAGGTATAGACCCTCATCTACTGAACCATGGTAGCAGGCAGCATAGTATATAGAGAGAAGGGCTCAAAAACTTTGGAAACAAACAAAAAAAAAATTAAAATTACTGCTTTGCCTCTTCTGTGTATGTGTGTAAACTGAGATGTTACTTCCTTTCCATATCCCAATATTTGTGATAAAGTGAATACTTACCTTAATATGTGAAAATCAACTTAATATGAAGTGCCCAAAATAGAAGCTAGCAGAGATCTTCATTAATTTTTTTCTAACCCTATCTTGTATTCCAATCAAAGTTGTTCTTCCAAATAATGACTAGAATCCGGTTACTTGTCTGCTTAAAAATATGCACTGACTTCATGTTGCCTTCAGGTAGAAATCTGAACATTTAGTATGGAATAGAAAATCTTCCAGTATCTGGTCCAAGCTATTTTCCCTGCTTCAACTTGGAGTAGAAAGTTAGGAACTCCTATGACATTATATTTTTCTATTCTTCTCCAGAATCCCAAGACATGACTGAACCAACATTGGGTTTTATTAAAAGTTTGGTGGGTGGATACAAGTAGGCATGGAGTGACAGATGAATCTGTGAACACATGAGTGAATAAATTTCTGGGAAGACAAGATTAAAATGCTTCCTTCACATTCTGAAACATTTAACAGCTATGAATTTGCAAGCTTCTATAGAAGCTGATCATTTACTTCGAGACATTTTTCCTGTCTCCCAAATTTATACCTATAGAGAAAATTGTGCTTAGTAGAAGCAGAGTATATGATCTGGCTCAGATTATGGATGAAAATATTCTAGGATGAGATGCTTAGTAGTATTCTACTAATAGTACTTTATGGAACAGCTGTCAAGCAACAAGCACACTCTGAGCATTTCTCAGATGTGTTAAAGAATGCACACTAGATGGGAGCACGAGGTTAAAGAATTAGCTAGAGAGGAAAAGTCTGGTGTCATGGTGGTCTGAGTGATCATGGTGGGGCTTAGGAAAGGCATCACACAGGAAGGGGAACCTCAGGAGAGTCTTGAAAGTTGAGAGTGGGTCTAAGTACGCCATTAAATGAGGTGGGGCAGAGAAGGGCTTTCCTGCAGAAGAAAAAGCATGACAAAGGCACAGGAACATGACAGAGCATGCATTCAGGGGTTAGCAACTGGTTCAACACAACTGCAGCTTGTAAAATATATGGTTCAGAGATACACTTAAATATACTTAATAAAAAGTATGAATAACCAAGTTAGAGAATTTGTGTAAACAAAAGTGAAAAAGGAAGTGTAGAAAGTGAGAAATCTCCCTACCCCCATGATCACACTCATCCCACCTCCACCCTATGGTCTTTAGCCTTTAAATTCTACCCACACACTCATGACTGCTTTATTGATCTTCCCCCCGATTTCTCTACCAAGCTCCAACTTGCCTATTTAACACCTCATACTGAGCTTATCTCTTAAACGGAACTCTCCAACCTCCCTGCCCCAAATTCAAAATTCCCTACGGGGTCGATTTATCTCCATGCACCCTGTCATTTTATGCTCAAGAGCCGGGTAATCTAGGTACATTCCAAGTCTCCACTTCTAGTTGATTCATTCATAAGCCATGTTGATCCCACTGGTTTAGATGGTCCTCATCGTCTATCCCTGTCACTGATGTGTTCTCATCTGCTAGGATCTCCTCCAACCCATTCTTTACCACACAATTAGAAAGATCTCAAAATGGTGTTTCTCAAGCTGAGACCCACAGATGACCTGATATGCTTGGTTGGGAAAAAAAAAGGCAAATAATCTATTTCTCAGCTCAGACAACTGAAAAAGAATCTCTGGGAGTTCTTCAGAGTCTAGTAAGCTTTTGTCCACTCCTCTCCTTTTTGCCATTAAACCTGAAGAATCACCAATATGAGAGGCTGAATAGACTACAGGTTAAGAGTGGGTATCTTCAGCCAGAATGCCTAGATTTGACTTCAGACTGTGAGCCTTCAGGTAATTTAAACAGCCTGTGCTTCTGTCTCTCACTGGGAAGATTAAGATAATAGTGAACTAGGTTTGGGGCTGTTATGAGGCTCAAATGGGAGATTTTATGACTTTTCACAAGTATTTCCAGTTCTCTTTTTCTTTGAAGCATGTGGGAAGATTGACCTACTACTCCTCTGCTGTGAAATTGAGTGTGTCCTGAGGCTTCCTTAGGCCAAGGACACATGAGTGGGAGCACAGAACGTCACTTCTGAGTGAAGCTTAGGGAGATGATTCTCCACGATCCCCCTCCCTTGCCATGGCAGTCATGGAAGTACATGTCCCAGACAGAAGCAGCATGGAACACTGAGCCAAGACACGGTGACAGCTGCTCTGATCTCCTCTGTGAGAAAGAAATAAATGTGTACTGTGCTCAATTCCCGAGATTCGAAGGATGGTCCTTTGCCTGGTCCAGCTTTATAACTGATACAATGTTGAAATCTTTGGCTTGAGCCTGGCCTGTGGCACTGCTAGCGACAGTTTTTGAAGAAAATTCCAACAGTGTGGCTCCAACAGTGGAAGAGCTCCTTTGCCTCCACTAACTTAAAACACACACAAGATCTGTCTCTCTCTCTCTCACTCACACACACACACACACACACACACACACACACACACACAGAGCAATGTCTTTTTGTGTGTGAAATGATGCCTTTGTACTTAATCCTGTGCTCTTCTCTAGCCTCATTTTGTCCACTCTTCCATTCACCCTCCTGCCGCCTGGACTTCTTTAAGTTCCTTGCATATGGCAAGCACCTTTTCAACTGAGGACAAGCCAAGGGCCGGAATTCTCCTCCACACCTTTCCTTACTTACATTACTCCACTTAAATATCAGCCCCGCAGATAAGCAGGTTGTATCCACCTAATTAGAAGAAGTCACCCCTTATTCCCTTTCCTTCTTCCTGCCTTGGCTTCTTCTCTGCGTCTTTCATATATTTTATCATGATCTATAATTTATTTTGTTTGTCTGTTCCTGCATCTTGGTCTTTCTCCAGCACCAAAAAGGAAGCTCCATGAGGCCAGAGTTCACATGGCTCTTCTTTGGGGTTTTATCCTCAACCAAAAAAAATCTGTGCTACACAGCAAAATTAGATATGAGGCAAAAAATTAGAAAAGAAAGGAGGAAAGAGGGTTGTCCTGGAAGGAAGGTAGGGCCTGTCTGAGCACAAAATGACCCAAAAGCACTATTCTAAAATACTCTAAAATGACTATTCCCCAAAGACATTGAGAGTCTCTAACAAAGTGATGAAAATTTTGAAGAGTAATGTCTTGTTTTGTGTGAAATGATGCATTCTTACTTTAAGAAAACAATATACGCTATGAATTAAGATGTAATTCTTGCCAAAATAAGCAATTCAATAAAAATGCACTTCAAAATCAGTTTTTATTACAGGCAATGCATTGTAAACACAAATCCAAAATCTGAGTTGCACCTTTTATTTTGAACATTTCACTCAATAAAAATCTGATACACTGGGTCCAAGTGATGACACATTCCAAATTAATGAAACTTCCCTGTAGCTTAAATAAACAAATTTAGATTACCACGAGAAATCAAAGCCAAAGGTATTTGTACAACTCGAGAATGATGGGAAGAGATTAGAACCTCCAGTGGTTTAAATTTCACCACTTATGACAATCTAGAGAGTCTTTTGTGTGACAAAATGTTAAACGATTTGTTTACAAGGGCACCCTAAAATATATAGACTGTCCTTCTCTATACTCACTCACTACATGTCATAGACAGAAATCTGAGAACAAGCTATGAAGTGACTAATCACACACTAGGCATTTAACTTGGAAGAGTTCTCTCAGGGGATTCTGGGTCAGGCTGTCTTGATTGGCCTCATGAAACCTTCCCTTCCCCCTCATTGGTCCTGCTTGCTAACATGGATTCGTACACCATAACAGAAAGGATATGGCTACTGGTTTTCTACTTATTATATTTTCTGCAAAGACTCAAAAAAACTACTTGTCTGAATCCCCAAAGGCACACAGACCCAAAACATTGAATGAATCCTTTGGAAAACAGAGGTCTTCTAACCCTCTGTGTGGTGGTGGGAGTAAAAGGTGTCAGAAGACACCATCCTTCTAATGAGTCTTTTCCTGACCCAGAAAGTACATAGATTCTGGTTTTAAATGTCCTCATTCCAACTCTTTAAAAGCATCTGTTACCAGGGAGATGTTGCAGAGGAAAGAGCATACATTAAGTCATGGTTCTCTTTCATTTCCATTTTCAACTAGCAAACACCAGGACTCAAATCCTCCTCAAATACTTAGATAAGAAAAAGACAAGTTAGTTGAAGACTAGAGTCTCTTAGACTAAATTCATTTCTACTCTGTCTTCTAGAGTTTTTCAGGCTTTTTCAAAACTGAAAGACAGAGGGGTCCCTTGGTCAAACGTGGATAAGCGTTGACTTAGGATCACTCATACATTTGCACTACCTTTGCTGGCCTTGTCTTAAGCCCACTGCTTCTTCTGTTAAGCTTCCTACTCCAGAATGAACAAATGAGGGATCGAGAGCTGGAAAGATCACGTAAAGCAAGGCAACTCTTGATTTTTTTGGTGGTCAGACACTCAACTAGGACCTCAAAAGTTTAAGGTGACATTTAGAAAGGCAGCACAAAGACTCCACATGTTGTTTTAAATTTTTATTTGCTTACAAAAAGAATAAAAACAGATTTGCAAAAACTTATCTGCATAAAGTAATCCCTGTAGGAGAGGAAGGCCCTAGAACATACTGCCCAACAAATCCTTCATCAAAGATAGATCACTTTCCATTGGAGCTGGTGAAAAACCATTATTTTACATGAGTCTAAAACCATTGAAAAACTCAATCTATGTTTAAAATTATCGAATTCATTAAAGTTATATTCTAGCACTTATTTTTGGATACCTGTGAAACCAGTCACTGAGTAATCTTAGAGTTGGACAGATCAATTATGTAAGAGGTAGCTTCACCAACAATGATCCTTCTTCTTATTAGCAAGTCATTCCCATGGGGCAGAGCAAATGGTATAATCTGTGAATCTCTTTGAATTCATTCTGTTTCTGTGGGGGCCCCATTTCCCTCCAACCCAATCATATTTCTCTTGTGCATTTTAGAACTTGAGATCATCTCATAGAGAAAAGATTCCAGAATTCAATCTACTTTCTCTCAATTCTTCTTTGAGGACTTTTCTCAAAAAAAAAAAAAATGCCAAATTATCTGGCATATCCTTAAAACAGCTAGGGGAAATCATTTCTAATGTTGTCATAGATTAAGTGAATTTAAAAAAAACCATAATTTTTGTTAATAATAACTCTAATATGAATGTTATCCAAAAAGGAAATTTGGGATGCAGATATGAGGCCCTCCCCCAAAATAACATACAAACCACTTAACATTTTCATGAATAAAGGTCTTTAAGAGGTCTTGCTGTTGGTCTTCAAATGTCTCCTGAGGCCATCAGATCCCGGAGCCCCACAGTTCCATGGCCTCATTCTCATCTTGGACAGGAGTGAATTCGGGCTGATCCGGATGGGGAGCTAAAGAGGAAAAGTGGGGGTGGGGACTTGATAGGACCCAGGAACCATGAACTGATATTCTCCCCTCATAGGGGTCCTTAGAGAGAGAGATTTGGTCAGTAAACTACAGAGATATCCTGCTTGGGTAGAAAGCTGTAGCTGCCTAACCCACCATGCCTCTTGTACCTTCCCCATGAGGTTTCCTGGTTAGTAAAAGGAGGAACAGGAGGATATATTAGAGAAATTGTTAGAAAACTAGACTCAGAGCCAAGTGCTTAAATATTATATGTTTTATTTACAAAAGAAACCCTGAAAATGTAGCAGAATTATGAACAAAAAAATAAATTTTAAAAACCAATCTCATGTTAGAAGTCCATCACCAGGATGAGTGGGGAGGGGAAGAGTGGAGAGGTCAGAGAGAAAGATGCTCATCCATCTTGTGCAGGGTCAGGAAAGAGGAGAAGGCACAGTAAGTAACTTTATTACAAAGCCTTTGCGTAGAAGAATTTGGGATGAATCCTTGGTACACAATCAGATCCCTCTATCCAGGCTGACCTAAAACAGCCAGTTTCCGTTACAATTGACATATATGATTTCGTTAAGTTCCAATGTTATCATTCTATCATGTTTGGAGAAGAGAGAGCAAGAGATGTCAAAGTAGGGAGGAAGGGAAGCAGGTGAGCCAGGAAAGGGGAGTATCCATTGTTAGGGGTTGGGGCTTAATGGTGGTGGTCAACAGGACAGTTCTGTATTCATAGCCAAATGCCCAGGCCAATATAGCCAGAGTGGAGGATTTCCATTTTAGTGCTGGTAATCATTGTAAGGGATCAGATCTTAATAAGGGACAGGGGAATATGAGAGAATGGGGAGGGAAAAGATGAACAGAGAAAAACACATCAGCAAAACTTTGACCAATGCCTCTGGCATCTAAGGTTAAATTTCTCCTAAAGCAGAAAATTTAAATTCATTGACTAAAAAGTCCATTTGCCCCAGAGCCATCTCAGAACCACTCTCTTGAACTTCCAAGAATAATTATGTCAGAAAGCCGCCCCTCCCCCCAGCACATCAGCATGCACTGCAGATATTTTTAGGAAGCATAATATTTCAGAATCTCGGTCCAGTAGTTAGTGATGAGACTAAGACAGCATGGCCAGATTTGTTTCTTCTTAAGACTATCCTTGGTCACCTAAAATGTATGTGGTAGACAGGATGTCACCTGAAAGAATCTGAGAGGCCCTGCTAATTATGGGGGAAGTCATAGTTTGGGGTTTCCCTAAAAATAAATTCTTATAGGCTATCATGATCACACCCCAGCAATAACAGAATGAGGGCCCCCAAAATGTTAACCCCTATCCCCCAGATAATCAAATGTGAGGTCAAAGGCTAAGTCTCTGTGGATCACCGTTTGAAAGCAAGGAAGCCTTAGATGTGCGATTATTTTTAAAGTCCTCTTAAGGCTTCTATAGGAATAGCCTATACAGTAATAGGCACTTTATAGAACATGCTTCTGGGCTAAGGTAGGATTGTGAGGCAGTCATGCTCTGTTTCCCTCTCATAACTGTTCTGCTTCTCATAGTGCCCCCTCCCCATTTGGGTCCTAACCATAGTAAACCTGCTCAAAGCCCACAAGAGTTTAGCACTTACCTCCCCCACCATAGGCAGAACATGACGAGGGGTCGCAATATCCAGGCTGGCCAGAAGGACCTTGCGGTCCAGGTACCCCCAGGTGACCTGGTGGACCCCTTGGTCCAGGAGAGCCAGGGGGTCCAGGGCTGCCAGGGCGACTCTCCCCTGAAGGTCCTAAGAAGCAGCCACAAAGGAAAGAACAGATCTTTTACCACATAGGGTGAGTTTTGAGATCACCATGAAATCAACTAACTCTTACAATAAGTAACCTTATGCATCTTAACAATTGGCTTAATCAGCCTCTCCCTACTCTCTCAGTTCTTTTTCCTACATTGGATTCCCTGGGCAGAAGAGCATATAGCTCAGGACTGGGAAGCAAAGTGCATTCTTCTCTATAGCATTTTGGGCATTTAATGGAGAGGAGCAAACTACTATCATTCTTGCTTTCTCTATGGGGCTTTTGTTTTCCAGTACAGCTCCTTATGAATCCAATGTATGGGCGTGCACATGCCTGTATGTGCACACACATGATCTCTTGCAAATCTCAACCTTATAATCTAGTTAGAAGAGTCACGCAAATTAGTGCTGGCTTGTGGCCCCAGATAATTAAAATAAATTAGTCTAAGTCTGAAAGAAATTACCTGGAGGAATAAAAGTCTGAAATTAGACACAATACATCAACCTAAAATTTCTTTTGTCTACCTTATATCAGCTGAGATCTTAGATTGAATGAAAATGGGAGGGGGGTTAAAATATTTTTGTATTTAAGAAGTTTGTCAGGCTATGTTTTTTGGGGGTTTTGTTTTGGGGGTGGTGGTGAGGTGCCAGTTTGTTTTTAGGCCTGGGTTCCAACAATGTTCAGAATTCTTCAACTAGAAATAACACTATTCAATAAGAACTGAACTGAAAAGTAGGAATGAGTATCCCCTTGTATTTGAGTCATGTGCTTGCTCTCAGACACATGCAGTTCTGTTCACTCAATGCTCACAACTACCTATTCAGTGCACTGCATGATGCTAGATAAGGTCCTCATCCAACTCTCTAATAACGGAAGTTATTCCTGAGGCAATGGACTTGTTGCATCAGGAATCTCTCTTAGAAATATATTCCAAAAGCATTGTTAGACTGGAAAGAAAAATCAGAACATTTGATCCAGTGGGGCTAAGACTGAGATTCTAAACATACAATAGCAAAATTATAATTCTAATAGCAGGTCTGATCATCTGGGGATCATCTTAAGAGCGTGGGATTTTGCACACAAAACTAAATTTTCAGGAAACTCATTTGGTGAGACTACCACAGCAGGAGTAACTGGTGCTCGTAATGTTCACTCATGTTCCTTGAGATTCCATGCCTCCCTGCCAGTGGCTCTGGGGATGTGTGACTGGTTCCAGCCACTGAAATATGGATGGAAGTAGTGTATCATTATATTTAGGAAGTTGAGTCTCATGGGCCTTCTTTATCTTTCTCTCAGGGCCTATATGAGCCATGATGCAGGTCATGGGGTTCAAAATGGAAAGGCACTACCTTACCCACATCAAACTTTGTGAATAAAATAAAGTTTTACTATGTCAATCCACAAAGTATTTGGGATTTGCTACTAGGCCTAGCCTAGCCTTGCCTAACTCATATATCCACCAAGAGTCCAGAAAATGCTTTAACTTTGGGGGTTCATATGTGGGAAGGATTACTATAACAAATTGGCCTCTCAGTAAAATAAATGGGAAGTAGAACCACTCCACTTAGATACAAGGATATAAATATGGCCATTTTCTCACCTGTGATAACAAGTGAATATAAAGATTTATATTTTACAGTTTTTTAAAATTAAGTAGAAAGACTTACCTGCTGGTCCAGGGGGTCCTCTTGGTCCTTGAGTACCAATGCCTGGATTTCCTTTCTCTCCCTTGATACCAGTTAAACCTTAAAAAAAAAGGGGGGGGGGGAGTTCTTTTCTAAAAATAAAATTTTATAAGTTTCAAAAGCATCTTTCTGATGACAATAATGAATTGGGTTAGTTATGGGTACCAAAGGACTTTTAAATTAAATTCTGACCCTAGTAGCTTATGCAAAATCATATTCCAGTGGTCTGGTTCTGCATCTGAGTGTGTAGTCTGCAAATTGCAAGCCAGGGTCTCTTGCTACTTCTTCCTGAAATGGTCTGACCTGCCAAGAGCTGGCCTGTGTCTTTGCACAGAGCTGGCCAGTATCTTTGCACGAACCAGGCCATTCGACGTATGCAGTTGGCACTCCACAAGTAGCACAATAGAAATCACAAGTGGACACATCTAACATTTTCCTTTTGGTCCACCCTGTAATGTATCTGCAAAAGGCATGAATTATAATTAGGCAGCAAAGTTCTGAAGAGCGTGAGTTTCCATTAAAAACTTGGAAGCTTCAGGAAAGCCTGTGTTTGATTTGGCTGATTCAACCCCGTAAAAATCTAAACCTATTTGAGTTTCTTTTCCATTGAGCAGAACTCTTATTCCAAGTAATTTATGATACTTTTAACAAACTATACATTTTCACTGGCAGAAAACAAAACAACAACAAAAAAACACATACTCTGACACCTCATCATCCAGACAGGTCCTATCACAAAATCACTGGACAGTGAAGGCACCTGTTGGAGTCCTGACCACTAAAGACCACGATAGGATTGCATTAGACTAGAATCAGGTAACCCTAGCACATATCATAGAAGGTCTCTGCTATTCACTTCCCAGAAACAAGAATTCTTTGAAAGAGTAGAATGCAGAACCGCATCTCTGATTAATTATACCTACTGACAAAGCCTAGAAGAAAACATAAATAAATAAAAATAGCCAATTTGATAGATAGCAGTCATGCAGGGAACTTAAAAGTTTTTTAAATTACAAATAACTTAATTTTCTTACTACAAATATAATACATATTCACAGTAGACAAATTAGAAGTCACAACAAGTAAGAATTCTAGCACTTCAAAATATTAACTTTTAACATCTTGGTTTATAAGTTCCAGAAAGAAAGGCATCGGTACAGTATTTGTTCTGAAAATAGTTGTTAAAGTAGGCAGTGAGCAGCTGAGTTTTTCTTTACCCTGCACATATAATTATTGTCTCTACACTGTGGGTGTCTTCTGTGCTCCCAGTAACCACCTCCTGGGATCAAGATAGTGTTTTGAAATAAAAAAGCATTCTTCCTTGCTTTCAGTGGTCCAGGCTGGTCTAGCACTGCTGTGCTTCCCACAATCCCAGACCTACTTCATGTGCCCTTGGTGATGTTAAGGCCAATGCCTCAATAAGAGTCCAAGGCAGACCACACACCTGTGACATGCTGGTAGGGCCTGCTGCTTCTTTTAGGAGTCCATAAGGAGGATGGTGATTTCTCGAAAGTCCAAGTACATCTCCTTTGAGTTTTAAAAGCTCACGCTTCACTCAGACTAGTTACCCTTTACTGCTTGATTGCTAATCAGGTTGTTTAGACAGACAGCCACCTGGGTAAGTCCTCGAGGTATTAGTTGAGGAGCTGAGTTGGTTCTCTCCAGCTGACAGTGTTCTCTCACTTGTCAGTGCCAGCACCCTAACAGGCAACTGGGAATTTAGCAAAATCCCTCTTTTTCTATTAGAATTGGAGTTACATTCCCCATGAGAACTGCTAATTTTGAAAAAAAATTAAAACATAAGAAAATAAACTGATGACTAACACCAAGCTGCTCCTGATTAACTGCAGAGTGACTCAGAGGCCTCTCACCACCTCTCGGTCCTACAATATCATCTGGATTTTCCACCAGTACAAGACAAAGGCAGGCTGTAAGGACACCCAGGAAAATGGTCTCAGGACCAACCTCCGAGTTTCCTGACCTGCTTTAGCTGACTTGCTAAATTCCCAGTATGTATACATATGGTTCTCCTGCCAAAGGAATATTCATATCCTTGATACATAAACTTAGCTGTATGTCTTCTTTTGGGAGTGCAATAATCATGTTTAAAATCATAAGGATTAAAATTAAAGTCTAGGCTTAAACAATTAATTCAGTGCTCCAAAAATAGACGTGGACATATTTTTGATAAGTTTTGTAGACACTGATTAAAAGGTAGGAAGCCAAATGTCCTAAAAGTCAGCCTGTGACAGTTCATAAGATGCTTAAGGGCCTCAGAGCCTGGACACAAAGTCATTCTTTACAGACAAAACAAACAGTCATCGCCTATAATAAATCTCTGTTGCAAAAGACCAAGGTGAGGCCCCAAGGTGCCAAGATGGGGTCACCACAGAAGGATGCCAGAATCCTTTCTACAAAAGCATTGAGACTCAGGAGATGCATGGAATCTGAGTGCAAGAGAGATTTCCTCTGGAAGCACCCTCTCACCTTGTGCCTTCTGCATAAGTGCACATCATTCTTCAAGATGCTGCTTCAACCTTCTCTGTATCCATAATAGGCAGAGCCACAACAGATCCAAGGGGGCAATGATTATCTATCTTATTCCTGGCTCTGTCCATAATACTTTGTAGGGTGTCTTTGCAGGATACATAACTAGCAAATATTTTGTTGAGTGAACTAATAAAAGAATGAATGAATGATTTCTCTGTTTCCATAATATCTGTACCTTCTAGGGCTCCATGTATCCAACTGTATTTCTTACTCATGTCCATCCAGCCCCCAAACTATAAGCCCATTGATGGAGATGCCTTACTTATCTCTCTAGTATCAGAGCCAAGAAGGATCTCATAACAGGTGGCCCAGTAAACACAGGAAGACTGACAGAATGGAGAGGCCTATGTCAGCACTCAGCTGCACATCAGAAGTAGAACCTGGAAGGATCTAGAGACTGAAAATAAAACAACAAAGCTGAAGCTTTGGTATTACTTTCACACTCCTGGGTTACGTGAACACTGCTTTTTAAAAATCAAGTTCCCTGCATGGGGAAATTGACTCTAGTGCTTTTTATAGATGAGCTTAATTAGTTCCAATTAAATGTAAGCTTCAGTAATGTTTTATGAGCATAATTAATATAAATGAAGATGTAATTTACCCCAAATGTAATTTAACCAAGATTGATATATCATTAGTTTTCTGTAGTTATCAAAAATATTTAAGATCATCAGAGAGAACCCATTTCTTCCTTTCCTTCTTCTCTTTCTCTCTATCCCACCCCCAGTCTCTCTCATTATTATGTTTCTAACATTTCAAAGCAGTTTTAGGTTCACAGCAGAACAGAGATTCCCCATATGCCCCCTGCCTGCACATAAGCATATCCCCGTTATCAACATCCTCCACTAGAATGGCACATTGGTCACTGTGATTCGTTCTTCAGATTCTCATTAGAAGCCATTTGAGACTACCTGACTCTCCATTACCAGTAAGCTAACACTGACCCTCCAATATTTTCCATGAAAGCGGTATCTGTGTGTCTTAATTCTTCACTGTATCCCCAGTGCCAGTTGCATATCAAGCACTTTAGAAATATCTACCAACAAAAATGGGTGGATGAATGCAATACAGTCTGATGGCAGACTGAGACAAAACCAAAAAGTGGCCTATGGTGCATCAGCTATGCCTGTAAGCTACTTCACTAGGTTTTGAAGTCAGATGCTTTACATGTACAAATTCACTCCGTTTTCATAGGAACCAAGAGGGCAACTGTCATTAACCCTGAAAAAGGACTGTGATACAGAGGCCAAGTCACCTGTCCTTAGCTAAGAAGAACAGAGCCAACATTTCAACCAGGAAAGGTTGGTGTGGATGCCTCTATAGGAAGCCTGTACTTGCCGCCTCTTTACCCAAGCCTGGGTATGCAGGCTGCGCTTCTTGTCTGGCTTGGTGCAATTGTGGCTTCCTGAACTGTCAAATCCATCTTCATGGTTCTCTCTGCCTTCACATTCAGCTATCAGTCTGTGTGCACCACCCCACTTCTTCAGCTGTGTCCCTCAGTTTCACTTATCTTCTGCTCTGAGCAAGATCTGGGGTTGAATTTAGGAGGATTTATCCTGCTCACACTGACCACATGTCCTGGGCCTGGCCCCTTGTTGTCTGTTTCCTATTTTCTTTGGCCTGTTGGCCTCTGAGTAGGAAGATCTTACTCATCTCTATGGCCCCCCAGCCACACCAAGCACTCCAGGCTGGAGTCTCTGCTACTCCGTGGAGCAGTTGCTGCTTCCTGATCCCAGACATTCTGAGGAACTCCCAGGATTTATGCCCAGGCAGAGATGCAAGGCCTGGGGAATGCTTTCATTGTAATTATACCAAAAAGTCACAGAGACTGTGGAGCAAGACTTCAGCTGTGTTATATTTGACTGTTGCCTGGGAAATGCTGGCAATGAATTTCAAGTTCAGTCTGTTCTTCACACAGTGCATGCCTGAATGCCTACTAAGTACAATGTACTTAAGAACCTGGTTACAAGAAGGCAAAGAAATTGGACTCAGTTTAACTGTATCTTATGCCCTTTGCCAAGCTCTGGTATTTCCACATGTCTGGTCCACAGGGCTAGTATCAGTCTGTAGAGATCCATGCTTTGGGTTATAGTGGCCCAGAGTAGAAAATATACAGTTGCTTTAAGTGTAAATAAACTTTGCTAAAAGTCTCATTTCCTGTTGCTCTTTTCATATTAGTAACTGGCCACGTACTATATAATTCAGAGCTGAGCCAGGGAAATATAAGCCACTCTAGGTCTTTCAGGCAGACGAATTTCAGACAGAGACTCAATTAGATGGGTAATAGATGGCCTCCAGAGTCAAATAAAGATGAAGCTTATAAATAAACAATAGCAGGAAGCCACTATCACCCCTAGGAGGGCAGCAGAAACAACAGGAAAAAATGATGTGGCTTGAGCACAGAGCCTAAGCCTTCGGGCAGGATTCAAAGCAGAGAGACACGTTCGTTGCCCACTGGAATCAGGAGCCACAGAGGATTGCAGCTGTCAAGTTGAGATGCAGAGAGGCAG